AACCGCAGCGCTGCGAGCGGAAGCGATGCCTGGGGACGGGCGGGAAGGCCTCGCACCGAGCAGAGGTTGCACTTTCCTGCCGCCATCCGGTGTGGAGGGAAGTGATGCTAGTCGAGGGGTTGGGGTGAAATCCCCATTTCTGCCCCATGGGTACACTGTGATTTCCTCCCCACCCTGTAACCGCATGTCTGATCAGCCCGTTCATGCCTCCGGCAGGACGGTCAGGAGGAAACCGAGCGGCACAAAGCGCCTCTCTCCTGCCCCCGGCACACAAACCTCCTACTACAGCGAGTCCGTGATGAGCGAGTCCTACCTGGGGGGCAGCCGTGGCCTCGCTGCCCTGGGCAGCTCCATGCTGGACGATGAGCTGGACAGCAGCACTTACTGGGGTGAGCCCTCCCACCCTCCTGTGCACTGGGGCAGCCCCCCAGGCTGGCTGACCCCCTGTGCAGGTGGTGGTAGGTGGTTTCTCAGGGGGACTCTGTGTTTTGGGGGCAGGTGGGGAGCTGTCCACCAGGAGGAGAAGAGGCACAGGGGACACAGAGTCCAGCAAGATCAACGGGCTGCTGGAGAGCAAGACATACGACACCTACGCCTCTTCGTCTGGATACTCCTCAGAAGATGACTACGCTGGTAGGGGTGCACCCAGCTTCTGTGTAGTGGCAGGGATGCAGGGGAGATGTCCCCAAGGGGACCAGCCCAGGACCTGGCTATACCCAGGGTGCTGCCAGTCCCCCCTGCATGCCCAGTGTACAGCCTTTGCCTCGGGCAGCACACTGGGATGCTGGCTCCATTGGTGACTTATTTCTTCCTTCCCAGGTCACTTTTACTCAGGCCAGAGTAGCTCTGGGTCTGGTCTGAGGACTGCAGCCTCCCGGGTGGGCTTCTTCCTCTGGCAGGTGTTCACCTCCCCAGGTGAGTAGAGGGCTGGCAAGGGCATTTCTAGCAGCAGCTTCCTTGCCTGTCAGCGTCTCCTTTCCCCAAGTGCTGTGTGTGTACTGTTTCCTGTTCAGGTGGAGGGGTTTTATCCCCTTGTGGGACCATCCTTGGGGACGGAGGGGCCATTTCTGCCAGGACCCCTCCTGAGGCTTGTTTTTTCTCCTGGCAGTTCGGTTCCTGGGATGGCTATTCTCAGGCCTGGCAGGTGCCTGGCACCGCCTCACCGGCACAGCTCCCCATCAGTACAGCGTCCCCTTCTCCAGGTGAGTGTGGTGGTGGGACACCAGGATGGGGGAGCATGGAAAAAACCTGCAGGATCCTGGAGAAGGGAGGCACGTGTGGGATGGGTATCTGGTGGCAAAGTCTGTCTGGGCTTTGCTTTCCCTCTGGCCCCCATCCAGAGGTGGGGGAAGATGACTGCAGTCCTACAGGTGCCTCTGTCTCTCCATGCTCCAGGCGCTACCCACGTCTGAAGAGGTCCCTGCTGTTGCTGCTCCTCCTCCTGCTCCTTGCTGCTGCTGCCTACGGTGAGCCAGCCTGACTTGATCTGTTACCCTGAGGTGTGAGGCAGTGCAGAGCATCCCACTGGTATATCTGGGGGATGGGATTGCTGCAAGCTCGGTCCTTGTGGCTGTTGGTACCCCGGTTCATCAGCACCAGGAGATGCTGATAGCTGAGCCCTGAGTCCACCCTGTCCCGTTGTCATCCATTACCAGCCTGTGATTTTAACTATCTCATTCCTCTGCGTGCCCAGGAGCTTGGTACTTCTACCCTTATGGGCTGTCAACGCTCAGCCTCCCTGCCTTCCCATGGTGGGGAGCTGGAAAACTTTCCTCCTCCGATGTGCCTGGGGCAGGGGACCTGACCACGCTGGACCAGGTAAGCTTCAACAAAGGCATGGTGGTGGCCCAGGTGGGAGGAGTGCCTTGCAGGGAGAGCCAGGACAGTGTGGTCCATGGCTGAAGGATCACTTCCAGGAGATGGGGAATGATGCAGAATGGAGCAGATGGTGGTTGCACTGGTGGAAATGGCTCCCCCAGCTTATAGGCATCTCACCCTCGGGGTGTCCTAGGGGTGGAGCAGGAGGATCATCTGCATTCTCCTGGGAAGCAGCAGATGAATAAGATGCCACTGATTCTGGGGAATGGGTGGTGTGGGTCCCTTTTCACAGAGGTCCTGTGGAGCAGCACTTCCCTGGGGGGCTGCATTGCACCCTGTCTTTGCTGCTGCAGGGGGGACACCGGCTCCTGGCTCGCTTCCAGTCCCTGGAGAAGCGCTTCGAGGCACTAGAGGCTGAGATGTCACGATGGGAGCTGCATCGGGGGGCGGCAGCAGTGACAGCGGGGGGAGAGCCACCCCCGGGGGATATCGTGGCCCTGCTGGAGAGGCTGGTGAGCCGCAGAGATGCAGCACTGAAGGAGCATCTCCACAGTGACATGACCAGCCACCTCCAGGTGAGAGGCACAGGGGGCATGCGGGGAGATGGGGGTGTGCAGGGCTCGGCTCTGATATTCCACCCTGTTCCTCATCTTGCAGGGTGAGCTGGATGCCTTCCAAGCCCAGGTGCAGAGGGATTTAGACGGGCGCCTAGGGAAGATGGCACAAACCTCTCGGGTAAGGGGATGGGCATGGGGTGGTAGCTGGGCAGGACACCCTCACCATCAGCGTCACAGGTCTCACCACTTCTCCCCTTCCTGGCAGGAGATGGAGACACGCTT